CCATCCATCTCTCCGCCCCTCAGTCAATCCCACCTGCGTTTATCAGCCAGGCTGGCACAATAAACTGTCTCAGATGGGAAGAGAGGGAGACTTTGTCTCACATACTTACACTCCATCGGGAGGGATCAGTCCCCAGAGAAGGGCATCACATTGGAAAGGTAGAAGGTCAAAGAAAGCGAGGAGGACTCTCAACAAGATAGGTGACGGACACAGTGGCTGCCACAATAGGTCACACATAGCAACAGTTGGGGAGGGTGCAGGACTGGGCATTATTCCATCCAGTTGTCCATCGGGCCACTGTGAGTTAGAACCTACTTTACGGCACCTAACAGCAAACACCAAAATCTGTTACCCATACTCAGTGTTGACTAAGTCAGAGGTGTTTGTAAAAGTAATTAAATACTCATCTTTCATTTTCTTCTTAGATGCCATAGTGCAAAACTTGGAGAAGTTAAGATAATTTAATGTTGTCTGAGCTCAGCCTATGTTCTGGCTCAAGCCAGAAGCACATACTGTTGTTTTGTGAGAGGATTAAGCAAACATGCTAGCAATGTGATCTAAAATATCTTGAATCCAACTGCCTTCCAACCTCAAATTCTTAAATTAATTATTTCATTCTATGTACTCTCAAAAATCTCTGATAAGTTTTCTACTCACCCCAATTAATCTCCTGACTCCTTTCATGCAGCACACATAGATGAGTTATGAACATCTCCGTGGGTTGGGAGGGGATACTCTGGTGGTGGTTTTTGTCTGGGACTCCTGGGTATTTGGGAATTGGTGGATGTTATGGGACCCAGTGAAGGGAAACCCTTTCTACTGTCCTGATACACACAGAGCCCCTTTCCAGATCTCAGCCACTGGCCCTTTCATTGCTTTGCCAAGCATTAACCTAGAGGCTTCTTCTTTACTTTTTAACCTATAAAAGTTTATCTGCTTAAAACTGTGTTATGGACCTTTTTCAGGAAAGGGACAAACTCATCTTTGTACATTCAGCTCAGGGTGTGAAGTCTAGCAATCACTTAACTAGTATGTATCAACTCCTCTTTGGGGTTCCAACCAATTGATTCTTTCCTGTTCAGTCTCAGAAACTCACGGGGCAGTTCTGTCCTGTCCTACAGGGCTGCTCTCAGCGGGAATAGACAGTGCAATTGGGTTTTGATTTAGAATAGTTAACAATATGTACAGCCACCCACATGCTATGCATCTCAGCATCGTTCTTGCTTCTCCCTCTAGTCCACACCGAGGCTCTCATAAGTTAGCAAGCTTTATGTACTGTGCCTCTTGTTTATCTCTGCCTTTGCCTTTGTCTTTTGAGCCCTTCTCCCTGGACCTCTGTGCCCTCAGACAGTTCCCGTCCCTATCCCGATCGGTCGCCCCCTTACTAACCCATTATCTTCATCTCTGCCATAAATTCTTTTCTCATCACACATCTGGTCACCCTGATATCTAGCTAACACTCTCTTTGTTCTCCATTGATTACTATGCAGTCTTCTTGGCGTCACCACAGCTCATTGAAAGCTATTTTCTATAGATATTTTCTAAAACTCCTTATCACATACCAAACATTGAATATTTAATGCACAGTCATCTCACCACATCTTTGTTTGCACTTTGTTTCACTTGGAACATACTTATTTCCCTTTTCTATTTGTTAAAATCTTGCGTTCCCTGCAAAGATTTTTTTTTATCAGAATCCTGTCTCACCTTAAACAAACATAATTTATAAAAATCCAATTTCATGATAAAGGCAAATAATTGTTTTCAAGAATATTCACAACATAGAGGGCCTTCAAAGAGTTCAGAGGGACAATTATCTTTTAGCTCCATTTTTCCATGAAATTTTTTACATTCTTTCATTTTTCTGGGGTTTTCTTTCTGTTTAATATTTCCTCAACAGTTTTATTGGAATATAATCACATATCATACAATTCAATAATTTAATCACACCAAGAAGAGTTATACAATCATCAACACAATTTAAAACATTTTTGTTATTATTGTAGTCATAATTATTAGCTCCCCATTTCCCCCCACCCCCAACCACCCCTGCCATACCCCAAGGAACAATTAATCCAGTTACTGTCTTTATAGATTTACCTATTCCAGATTATATATACAGAAAAACATTTTAAAAAACTAACAATAATAACAAAGTAAAACAGATAGAAACATCAATCTAAAAGAAAGCAGAAAATATTAAAAACTTGAACAAATTTAAATAGATCATAAGGAGATCAAATGATGGGTTGCTAAATTTTAACCTAACCACATCTTTAACCACCCATTCTCCAATGCAGTCTGCAGGATAGGAAGGCTGTTCACATCCCTGGTTCATGGTCAGAGGGGATCCCAAGCGCTTAATCCTTGTCCATTCCACCCCCCACCCCACTTTAAAAAAAAAAACTGAAATAGCTTTAAAATTTTCATATTTCTTTAAATAAAAAGTTCATTTAAAACATGTGGTAATTTCTCCAGTATCAGTAAGAAATTTTGTTATTTGTGAAAAAAAAATAGTGTTAGCATAGACTCTCTCCGTAATGCTGCAGCATGTTAGCAAGTATTTTTAGATTACATTCTGGATCAGTATTCATTCAGTCTTACGTGTCATTTTTTTCCACGTCAATACAGTATATAATTTCTTGATATTTAGCCTAACAGCTCAGTCTGATCAGAATACCCCAAACCAGATGCAATTATTCAGTACAATGTAGAATTTGTTCGTTCAAAGTTGAGAGACAGATTCAGAGGCTAGGGAAGTAGGTCGCAGGTAGTCTTGGAGGTGAATAGTTCAATTGTCCTTGACTGGTTGCTGGTTCAACTGGTTGCCCATTTTTGTCAAGGGTCATGAAGAGGGTTGGGGTGAGACTAACAGCTGTGGACCAAGTGTCACTCCGATAAGAATCTGGTTCTAGGATATAAAGTCTGTGGCAGTTGATGACGACTAACCTGTGTACTTTTCAGAACATCGAGCTGAAGGTGGAAGTAGAGAGCCTGAAGCGAGAACTCCAGGACAAGAAACAAGACCTGGATAAAACGTGGTGAGTTGTCGTTTGAACCAGATGAGCACTGGCCCTTTCCCAGAGTGGCTCCCTCATCGGAGAGCAGTGATTTGGAACCCACTTCTGATCATCGAGTTTAGTATCTTTCCTAATCACCCCTCCAGTTTGTATGTTCTGTCAACAGGGAACTGAGACAATAGCTTTTCTTGAACCTTCTTTCCCTTAAGGGACCCTTGTGGCACAATGGATAAGCACGTGACTGTTAATCATAATGTTGGTTCAAACCCATTAACTGTTCCAAAGGAGGCAGAAAGATGTGACGCTGCTTCCGTCAAGATTACAGCCTTGGAAACCCTGCAGGGCCGTTCTGCTGAGTCACAGCGAGTCAGCAGTGAGTCTGTGACAGGAGTTTTGATTTTCTTCCCATTAGGCTCCCTGTTACAATGTCAGATAGATCTTGTGAAAGATTATTAAATTCACCACACTGAGGACTGTAAACTTTCTATAAGTAACATTCAACTAACCAAGAAATGAAATGAACTCTTCTACTTGTAGTGGAAAGTGACAAATACAAATCAATTGTATCAGGAATTGTCAATCAATCACTAATAACACTGAGGGCTGACATAGAATCGGAAGATAATGGGCATCCGCATGCTCTACTGAGAGTGTGTACAGGTGGCAACTCTTTTGGTTTGTGGGACTGCCTATTAAAGTTAGACACAATCTCGCTCTGAGTCAGACCGGCTCAGTGGCAGAGAGTTTGAGAGTTTTGATCTAATTATCCTTTGGAGTAATCTTTCTCTTATAAATAGAAGTCTGAAGAAATACACAGATAGGCATGTTTACTGCATCATCATTTGTAATGGCAAAAAAACTAGAAATAACTTGAATGTCCATCAGTAAGGCACTGGTTGAATACATTTTGATATACCCACACTGTTGAATATTATACAGATTTTAGAAAGAAGGTTAGCTTTATATTTGCATCCTGGTAGGAAATCCTTGATAGATTAAATAAAGGGACAGTTTAAATAAAGTCCTTGATAGGTTAAATAAAATACTGAGTGATGTTTACAGCATAAGCTCCTTATAATGGAGACTAGCAATCCTTTCCATGTATAGATTTTGATTATGCATAAAATAATCGGAGGGTTATATGCCAAATTCTTTGATCTTGTTTACACTCAGAGTATGAGATTAGTTTATGAGGGGAGAGGAAATCAACTTTTTCCCATATATTTTTGTATTGTTAACATTTATAGATAAAAATTTTTTAAATGTTAAATTTTATTTTAAATGAAAAGTGTTATTAAACTTTTTATTAAAAATAATTCCATATTATACCTGGAGATCAGTATCTATTCACCCAAATCTAGCATTTTTTTTCCATCTATAGTATTTCTTGATACTTAGGACTACAACTTAGCAAAATGAGAATAATCAAAACCAGACTTAATTATTGATAATCTGCTAGGATAAGTGAATACTTAGTAAGGCCTTAAAGTGAGCTAACAGATTTTAGGAAATTAATAACAACAGAGTAGTAAGTTTTGATACTTAATGTAATGTTTCTTTAAAAAATTAGGTGATATTCTCTTTAATTTTATAAATGAGAAAAGGTGCAGAGTTCAAATCTCCTCAGATAATTAGCAGAGCCCCCATTTTCTGGTATCAAGTTCAAGGTTCTTTTGACTCCACAACAGCTGTAGCCTCTCTGATCATGGGTTCCTAGTTAACTGAGCTATCCCCCAAATGAATAATCTCCATTGTCTAGAACTGGGGTTGGCAAATTTACAGACAGCAGACCCAATCCTGTACCTCACAGCAATGTAAATATTCTTGGAGAGTCATGAATATATTTTCACAAGCAAATGAAATCACCATGATCTGAATAGTATCATCCTTTAACACTTTTCCATTTTACTCGGAGTCCCGTGTACATACGGAAAGAGCCGCAGATTGCCGACCCCTGCTCTGGAAGAGTCTGGTTAGCTGTTGTTGATGGCATTTATCAGAGAAGACGGACTTGACAGTGGGGGCGAAGGGGCCGTGGCGGGCAGTAGTGAACACTCTGGACTGCTCCCTGGAAGCTGGGCAGCTTGCACGCACCGGGCACTCTGTGAGCTCATAAAAGTGTGCTTCCGGCAAGATGACAGCCTTGGACTCTCTCTATGGGGCAGTTCGGCTCTCTGGTCGCTATAGTTTGAAACAGCCTCATTGGCATTGGTATGGAGTCCATCAGAGTGAAAGATGTTTCCCAAGATCTGCTCACTTCGTTTTCTTGGGGTTTCCCTTGACCAAGAGTCTCCTGCTCCCCAAAGGTTGCATAATGCCAAGGGAGCTCAAGATGAATGTAGCGTCAGAGGCAGGGCTGAGTATCGTCCCCATGCCAACCCAGAAATCCTGTAATCTTTAGGGAAACCTCTTTGATCTCCATGGACACAACCCCCTGTGCTGAATAGTAAATAGTAAAGTCTCCCTGGGCTTGGGCAGCTTTGATTTACCCTGAGGTATTTTCAGTATTGTTCTCTGTCCTAAGAACCAGAAGAGAGACCATGGTTTCCCACAATTACCTTAACACAGCAATAAAACTGAACCGGAATTAAGACCCCTTCAGTCCCTGGTACTGCCCCGAGTTCTCTAATCCTCAGACATCCAGAGGGCACCTGTTTTCATCTATAAATACATTGGCGACACCTGACCCCTGTAAGCTGGTGCCTGGAAGTGAATTCCGAGGAGCACCAGAGAAGCAGGGCGCAGATAGAACCATCCATCCGCTCCTATAGATGAAATGTCTGTTTTCCACATAGGAGCAGGGGGACTGCAGAGCGCAGGAGAGGTAGCCTGAAGGGTGTGCCATTGATCCGTACTGTAAAGGAGGAGCGCATTGCTGGGGCTGCCCAGATGGACATCCTGTCCCAGGAATCCAAATGGAAGGGACATTTTAAATGCAAAGAGCTAAAAAGGAATGAGCAAAGCCCTTTTAAAAGCAGCCTAAATGGACGCGTCCATTGAAGGTGCTGAGTCCTCAACCACCTGATGCCAACCCACCTTCCCAGTGAGAATTTTCCTTCTACAAGGTGCATTGGTTCTCAACCTGTGGGTCGTGACCCCTTTGGGAGTCGAACGACCCTTTCACAGGGGTTGCCCGATTCATAACCGTAGCAAAATGACAGTGATGAAGTAGCAACGAAAATAATTTTATGGTTCGGGGGTCACCACAACATGAGGAACTGTATGAAAGGGTCGCTGCATGAGGAAGGTTGAGAACCACTTGTCTAGAGACTCCAATATATTGTGGTTGACAACAAAAATGTCATTGGTCCTAACAGATTATCTGAAAAGGTGGAAAGAAGGACTCTTTAGACAATTACCGAGGAAAAGGGAGTTGCTTTCTCTCCTCAGCGGTGTGACCCCGCGCTACTGAAAGCATCTTACTGGGTCCTTGGGCATGCCTGGCTCTGACTGGCTGGTGCTCTTTGGGTGTAGGGCTGATGTGGAGAATCTGAACAGCCATAATGAAGCTGAGCTGCGGCGCCAGTTTGAGGAGAGACAACAGGAGACAGAACATGTGTACGAGCTTTTAGAGAACAAGATCCGACTTCTGCAGGAGGTGAGGAGGCATTCCAAAGGCCCGGGGCTAGGGGTCCTCTTTTCCTATGGCCCAGTCTGAGCCTCACCTTCCCCTTCCCCATTTCCCTTCCCCCACGCAGCAGAGCTCCTGCCTTAGATGAGGGTTCACTCGGTGTTCCTTGATTTTGCAGGAATCCAGGTTAGCGAAGGATGAAGCGGCCCGGATGGCAGCTCTTGTGCAAGCAGAGCAAGAATGTAACCTGGAGCTCTCAGAGAAACTGAAGGATGTCACCAAGGACAGGGGAGATACACCTGGCGACCAGGTCATGCATGACCAACACACTGAGGCCCTGGCTGAGAGGGACAGGTTCGTGCCTTGGATGCTCCGTTTGGCGCTTGTGTTTTGCTTCTTGTTGAGCCTATGGTACCATATGACAGCCACATCACTCTTTGTTTAGGGCTTAACATGGAGCCTTTACCATTTTCTAAGACCTTCTGGCCCCTGCAACCAAAGATTTTCTTTTCAGAATTCAGTCTTTGGGAGGTATCCAGGAACAGAACTTAATTCTTGGCCGTCAAGGAACCTAAGACTGTATAAGAACAATGAAGTGGACAAATAATGGCAAGCAAGAGACATGGCGTGACTTACCTAGTGAGCACCTGTTACATGCCAGACACTGTGCTAAGTCCTAAGGTTACAGAAATGAAAGACCACTCCCTGCCATCAAGGAACATGCTACACAATTACAATAAGTGATGTGATACAAGCAGCAGGTGGACTTATGGTCATTTATTCCAACTAAAAGAGTAAGGTGTAATGGAAGGTTTCCTGGAGGAGCTGAGTCGTGAATGAATAGGAGAAATGGAGTAGGGTGTTGACAGGAAAGGAACATGTTCCATACATAGGAGAAGCCATGAAGTGAGGCACAGGGACAAGCATATTCCACCAACTATAAGTAGTTCTGATTCACTAGACAAGAGAGAGGTTAAATTGGATTGGGGGATGGGGATCTGATTATGCTAGCTCTGTCCATCATAGCAAGGAACTAGAATTTTATTTTGAAGAAGTAGAAGGCTTTAATATAGGGAAGAATATGATCAGATTTTAATTAAAAAGTATTGCTCTGTAAGCATTAAACAAAATGTTGTGCAATAGAACAAGCTAAAAGCTGAAAGATTAGTTTATTTAACCAATATATCCTAAGCATTTATGAATATCAGAAACTCTGCTAAACATTTGGAGTCTTAATGGAGATCCTAGTGTAGCGGGGAAATTGTATCTATAACATTCATATTTAATTCTTCCGACAAGTCTGTGAGAAAAGAATTATCCATGGTAATGATTAATGAAACAACTGTAGAGAAGCATGCCGCATGGTTAAGGGCACTAATGCATTCAAACCCTGAATCAGCTCTGCCTCAGGTCTTCGAGGGTTTGCTCGTGTCCTTCCTTCTGTGAGAACCACCTGCTATTCTTGTTCCTTGCTAGTGAACTCCTATTGGTCCTTTAAACTTACTACCTCATCAACTGACAACTGGACCAACAGGTAGCATCATGATAAATGGAGAAAAGATTTTGTCTTGCTTAGCTCCACAATCAATGCTCACGGAAGCAGGAGTCGACAGATCAAAGGACTCAGTGCATTGGGTAAACCTGCTGCACAAGACACCTTTAAAATGTTGAATAGCAAAGATATTATTTTGAGGACTGAAGTTTCCCTCGCCCAAGCCATGGTAACTTCAATGGCCTCATGTGCATGTGGAAGTTGGACACTGAATAAGGAAGGACAAAGAAGAATCAATGCATCTGAAGTATGGTGCTGGTGAAGAGTGTTCAAAGTGCCATGGGCTGCCAAAGAACAAACAAATCCATTTTGGGAGTGCTTTGTGGAGGCAAGGATGGTACGCCTTCATCTCATACTGTGGACCTATTGTCAGGAGAGACTGGTCCCTGGAAAAGGGGGTTGGTAAAACACAGAGGCAGCAAAAAGGAAGGTCCTCAACAAGATGCAATGGCAGTGGCTGGAACGGTAGGCTCCAACACAGGAACACTGGTGAGGACGGGGCTGTGTTCTGTTGTACACAGGATTGCCCTCGGTCGTAACAAACTTAACAGCACCTAACAACAAGGCATCGATTGTCACCGCCATGCAGGCTTTTGTGACCGCAGAAATACGTTTCTGTGCTGTCGTCTTTTTTATGGTGAACTGGGTGAAAGTTCACAGAGCAGATCATTATCGTGCGCTTTTATTTCATGTCACTGATTGCAGTCCCTCAGTGTACTACCCCTTCACCCACTTGTTTCCTGTTTCCATTCCCCCTCCTTTCCTAATCCTCCTGAACTCTGCCCTTGGGTATGTGCCACCTTTCTCATCTCAGAGAGTTGATTTTCTAAGGTGTGTGCCTTCCTAGGACTGCTGCCTTTTAAATAGACATGCCCGTGTAGTCTCAGTGTGCTATGGCATTGGCTTTCCCATTTGTCCGACGGAGTCCCGAGACTACGTCTCCTCTCTGTAGCCTCAGACAGACTCTGTGGTGCTGCTGCTGCTCCTCTTGCTGGTGCGAGTTGTCCCGCTGACTCGGACACTATAAGACAGAGCAGGACTGCCCATAGGCTCTCCTAGGCCGTCCTGCTTCCAGCAACAGACCACAGGGCTTTTCTTCCACAGAGCAACTGGTAGGGTCACACCACTCATCTTTGAGTTAGCACTTGAGCATGTCGCCATTTTGTTCTGAGTACTCTGAAATAAACACTTGTTAAACTGGGAGACAGAAAGTAATACTAATTTTTTAAAAATGTGCTCCTGACCAAAAAATCGAAGGCTTCATATCAGATGGCCTTGAGCAACTTTGCAGATCACTCCTAGAGACTGAGGCCCACAGAGACGAGTGAGGTTTGAGCATGGAGAGAAACAGAGGCTCTCTCGGGCTGGTACTGTAGGGAAGCTGATACGGAGGCCACACGAATTCGTGAATGGTGTCAGTCCAGCTTGCATTTGTTTAATATCTTTTTAAGTTTTTAATGTTTTTTTCTCACCCTGAAATCTTAACTGAGCCTCACACCTACATGAACCAATGAGATTTCTACTTGGCTTTCAGTGTCACTCGCTGTGTTAGTCCGGGTGGACTAGAGAAAAAAATCCACAGACACTCTTATGTGTGTAAGAAAAAGCTTTATATAAAAGAGTAATTGTATATTAAGAAAGCATCCCAGCCCAGTCCAGATCAAATCTATAAGTCCGATACCAGTCTATAAATTCCTCTTCAGACTCACGCAACTCGTGCAACTCATGCAATGACGCTGAATGCAGGCACAGGCCAGTGGGTGAAAAATCTTGTGGATCCAGTGGTGGTGGAAGCATGTTAGTGCTGGTGTGGGTCTCCACGTGGCTCCTCCAGCTGCAGGGCCCTGGCTGCATCAGCAGAGCTCCCTGTGGCTTGTCAGCAGAAATGTACAGTAGAGTACGAATGAGTGCCGGGCCTCCGGTGGGCTGTTTATCTCCTTCACACCTCCAAATGAGGTCATCAAGCTGCAACCTGATTGACAAGCTAGACTCCACCCCTTCACTCTTAATAGTCTCAAGTTGACACCAGATTATGTAAGCAACACACTCACCTGTCTGCCAAATGATTTTGCCTTCTAAGGTACTATCACTGTCTTTTTTTTAAAATCATTATATTAGGGGTTCACACAACTCTTATCACAATCCATACATACATCAGTTTTGTAAAGACCATTTGTACATGCGTTGCCCTCATCATTCTCAAAACATTTGCTCTCCACTTAAGCCCCTGGCATCAGCTCCTCATTTTCCCCTCTCCTTCCTCACTCCCACCTCCCTCATGAACACTTGATATCTTACACTGTCCGACGTCTCCCTTCACCCACTTTTCTGTTGTCCATCCCCCAGGGAGGAG